TGCTCCAGCACTTGCACTAGGAAGTTGTCCCTAACACTCTCACAAAATGTCCTTTATTGCCTGCACACTGCTGTGTTGCCTTCCTAGCAGATTTCAGTGTGATCGAAGTCTCCCAGGAGAACCAGGAACTGTTATTGGGAAACTTCTGCTAGCTGTTTGAAAAAAGCCTCATCTACCACTTCCTCCTCATCTGGTGGTTTATAGCAGACCTTCACCACAACATCACCCTTATTGCTCTTTCTTCTAACCTTAATCTAGAGACTCTCAACAGGTCTATGTCTAGCTTCATACTGGAGCTCTGAGTGATCATATGGCTCTTTTACATAAAGTGCAACTCCTCCTCCTCTTCTCCCCTGCCTGTACTTCCTGAACAGTTTATGCCCATCCATGACAGTGCTCCAGTCATGTGAGCTGTCCCACCAAGTCTCTGTTATTCCAATCATGTCATATTTATGTGCCTGTTCAAGGATTTCCAATTCTTCCTGATTGTTTCCCAAGCTCTGTGAATTCAGGTACAGGCACTTGAGGTAACTAGTCAATTGCCCTGATTCTCAGGAAGAATGAGAACACCTCCCTTCTTGCCCCTCCTCCTTGCTCTTCCTCCAGGTCACCCACTTCCCTCAGGGGTTTGGTCTCCATGCCCTGGCAAACCTAGTTTAAAGCCCTTCTCACTAGGTTAGCAAGCTTGTCTGTGAAGATGATCTTCCTTCTCTTCATTAGATGGATCCCGTTTCTTCCTAACAATGCTTCTTCTTGGAACAACATACCATGGTCAAAGAAACTAAAACCCTGCTGGCTACATTATCTGTGCAGCCATGCATTGATCTGCAGGATGAGTCCACTCCAGCCCAGCCCCTTCCCCTTGATCAGAAGCATCAAGGAGAATACCACCTGGGCCACTGTCTCTTTACCCTTGCACCCAGAGCCCTCTCATGCCTTTTGATCTGCTCTGGGTCTCCACTGGCAGTATCATTGGTGCCCACGTGGATGAGCAATATGGGGTAGTAGTCAGAGGGCTGGATGGGTCTTGGTAATGCCTCAGTGACCTCTTGGATCTGGGCTGTAGGCAAGCAGCAGACTTCCCAAGACTACAGGTTAGGTTGGCAGGTGGATCCCTCTACCTCACCACCTACTGCCACCTGTCACTTCTTCTTGGTGGCAGTGGCTTTGATCCTGTAACAAGAAGCCCCCTTTTTGCCTGCCCTAATACCATAAAGCCTCCCACTGCACATAGCAAGGGCTTCTTTCCTGTTCTGCCAGCCCCTCCTTGGAGTATTTTTCTTTCTTCTGCCTGTTCTTCCTTCCTCACTTCTCTTCTTTCTTTTCACTGTAAGGATAAGGATATGGAATTATTTAGGTATTTTATAAAATTGGAGCTTCATGAAATCACATTTGATAAGGGCTTATAGAGATATAGTATGGTATTGTGTATTTGTATTTTTCCCCTCATTTTATTTGGCATTCTATCCGTTGTATGTTCCATGGCATTTCACATTTTATATTTTATGTTTTCAACCTTGTAATAAATGTATTTTATTTTTAGAAGTAAGTTGTACCCTGTAACAATAGTAGCAAGGCTGAGAATCGAACTATGGTATCTATGTCTCAGGCTGATCGCTGTATGAATGGGAGTGAGTGAGTGATTGCATAAGGACAGTAGCTAGCTACAATAATGAGCTAATGAGCAAGGATTAATACCTATGAAACCCCAGACTAACAAGAGGAAAGGATCAATACAGAGCCCCTGAACTCCCTGAAACTTCATTGTTAAAGGAATAGAAGCCCTGGTTTGAGTTAATCAATGCCCATCCATGACTGAATATTGGGACTGAATAATACCTCCCAATCAGCCACTTTCAGAGCCCGGACAATGCCAGAAACTAAATTAATCAAAATCACCAATGGACACTCAGAACTGCACATACCAATGGACATGACCTCGGGGGCTGACAACTGTCCCCTGGAAGCCACCCCAGGGATATCCCATGAGGGTCAGGGACCTCTGGTTTGGGCAAATCTGAAAACTGGGTGGAGCATGGAAGTCTGCCAGAGGAGGATAAGAGGCAGTGAAGAGTTACCCTCAGTGACACCCTCTTGATCTGACGAGCACTCTACCAGTCCAGCAAGAAGGACTAGCCGGTGACCCTCTTCTGGAAACAACACCATTTGGAGGAAACCTCAACTATCCATTGACAGCAGGCTTCAATGCTTAGGATAGGTATACCTGACACTGGTGTTCTGTTGCAGCTGCTACATGTGCATGTGTGTGTGTGTGGTGGGGGTGGTATTTGAGAGACAGTACCCCTCATAATTTGAAGGTTTGATTTATGGTTTTTGACACTATCAATTTTGAACATTCCATCAAAAAAAAAAAAGAATTTTAAGGATCCTGGGAGTTGGTCATTCATCGCTAACATTATTGCCAACAGTCCTTCCCACCTTTTTGTGGCCTGGGCTGTTCTCCTCTACCAATGAAATGTGTTCCTTGCTTTCTACTGCTAGGTCTCCACATCTGTTCTCCAGACAAACTGCTGGAGGTGGAGATGAAGATTTCTGATTGCTGCTGCCAGAGCTTCCACCTTCCTGGGAGTCCATGTCTTCTCCATTCTGTAGTGCTGCCTCTCATATTTCTTCCTCCACAGTCCTTGAGTTCTCCTCCAGCATCGAGTCAATGAATTCCTCATGGTGGAGGATGCTTTGGAGCCTCACCATTTCATCCTGTCCCTCTCTTTCCTGTTTCCTGAGAGACACCACTCTTATCGCAGGCGCTCCCACACCAGGCCATCACCAGAAGGAACCTGCAAGCCATGGTTCCCAAATTGCCAAACCCGCACCTCTGTGGAAGCCTCAGTGGTGAGCAGTCCTGCCTGAACAGAAACCTCACAGGTACAAGCAGAGGCAGTGACAGTGGCTCTGACATTGCAATGTCCTCCAGCCATTTCCCTGGGTCTGAACTGGCCTCTTCTCTCTTACTGCCCTTCTTCCAAGCACACTTTCCCCAGCTAACTCATCTGAATGCTGGCCTGTGTACTGTTCGTTGGCCCCAAAGGGTTCCTTTTTCCCTTCTTCCTCAAACCAAGCTGAAAAGCTCTCCCCTCAATAGGGGGAGGGTGGGCAGAAGCAAACTGACCAGTGAATTGCCTGCAAACTGCTTGCCTTTTTGCTGCCCCTGTTCTCTGGCACCCTGGTCACCTGGGGAGTCACCTTTTATACCCTGCTGGGCCTGGACTGGCTCTGCTCCCTTGTTAGGGCTTCTGTCAGGCACAGGCAGCAATCACTCAGGGCACCTATACACAGACACTGAGGTTGCTGCAATGTGCTGTACTTATAGCACATCAGAGCAGACTCTATTAATCAAGTCTTCTGGAGTGTGGTATTACCATGCTCCAGCAGATTCCAGTGTCATGTATATCAGCATCCCTGTGCTGAAAAATGGTGGTGGGGGCACATTAAGTGAAGTTTGTTTGATGAGCTTGAGTTAAAGTTCCCCTGCTGCCATTTTTCAGTGTGAGGATGCTGATATACATCACGCTTTGGGAGCTTTAATTAGAGCAGCTCTCAGAGCCCCTCTAATTAAAGTGCCCCTGCTTCCCAGAACACATGTATAAGAGCCCTCAGCAATCAGCAATCACTCAGTTAGCAACACTCCCAGCATGCAACACGCAAACAGCCCACCAAACCAACACTCAACAAGTCAAAGGCACAGGCAGCTCTGGATCACTTATCTTCCCTGGGCAGAATCTGGTGCCTGGCTTCTCTTCCCCTTCCCCTTCCTCTTCTTGCTCCCAGCAAACTGTCTACAAACTACTTGCCCTGTTTGCTACCCCTGTTCACTGGCTCAATAATGGGGTCTGGCAACTCCTATTAGCATGCAATATATTTATCATATAATAAAGATTATTATAACTCTATGTTTAGATGCTCTGCTTTACCATGCTGCACTTAGAAGGAATATTTTCTATAGAATGAGTCCTTACACTGAATGCAGCACCTGTAGGCAGTTATCACAATTAATTTTAGCTAGTTATAGAAAATAGTATGTGGCACATATCAGACTCAGTAAATAACTTCTATGCAATTTGTAAATGGAGGTATAATTTTAATCAACATTCATTACAGCTGCATGAACCAGTTGCAGTAAACAATTCATTTAAGTTACTCTTTCTTTTTTTCTGTTTGTGCATTATCTTTGTGCAGACATGGTTTTAAGGAAGTTTGATACTCAGAATAATTCCTCAAATGAGTTATGGAAATATATTTCAGCCTTTACAAGTATTATTTCAAATAGTCACAATTCACAATCTTACTATTCAATCTGCATGATTATTCTCCTAAATCAGGTAATATTGCTTCTACTTTCTTACATGGTAATTTCTAAACTGCTCACAGCAGCCTTTACTTTTAATATGATTCAATAATCTGTTTAACCCCATTGTACTGTAAGACTCTAAGATCTTCTAAAATCTTTACAATAATGCTTATTCAGATCTATTATTTCTGACCTTCTATTTTCCATCTAGTTTCATCCATTGTTCAGCCTATCCCTAGTTTTATTTGGCTCAGATAACTAATAATAATTTAGCACCTTTCCTTTTCTGCACATTTATACCTCTGATCCCACAAGTGGAGATTAGCAGTAATAGTGCAGCAAGTTCTTATGAGATTGTTTATAAACAAGGAGAAAGAAAATATCTTTTGGTAGCCTGCATTTTTATTTGAAAATTAAAACGCCACTTGCCCAGCCAGAAAATGACTTCCATTCTACTGAGGCAAACGCAAAGTGTAACGTGAATTTGACAATAGATATGACATTGATTAATTCTGAATGAGTGAGATTTCTGTGAGTGTCAAATTTGACAAGCTTTCTTCTCCTGCCCCTTACTTTTGAGATTACAGGTGAGAAAAGGAAAAAGATCCTCCCAATCTGTAATTTTCTTCTCTGAATTCTTCTTGTACTGACATTTTTGTTTCTATGTGTGTTTTGTTTTCTTTTTTTTAAGGTTATATTCAGTTGGAGGTCGGGATGGAAGTTCCTGTTTGAGTTCAATGGAATATTATGATCCTCACACAAATAAATGGAATATGTGTGCACCCATGTGCAAGAGAAGAGGAGGTGTAGGTGTTGCCACATGTGATGGCTTTCTCTATGCAATTGGAGGCCATGATGCTCCTGCTTCTAACCACTGTTCCAGGCTGCTGGATTATGTAGAAAGGTATCCTCTGAGTGTATAATTGTATGTACAATTTTTTTATTTTGGAACATGTGATAGCTGCCTGTATCCTAAAACAATAAGTTCCTAATTACTGATCATTCTTTCAGAGGAAGTTTTTTTTTTTAAGTTAATCAGCTAAATGATGACTGAAAATAACCAGATGTTACTAACCACATAAAAATAATTATTTAATAGTGTCAAGATAACCTGTTGCCATGATAACTGTCTCACAGAAATGAGATTACAGGAAAAAAATGTCTGAGTTTGCTTTCTCACTAAAACTACAAATAAACACAGGTGTATAAAAGGAAAATAAAGCCTGTTTGCTTTTCAGAGAGGAAAATCCATGTCTAAGTCATAAACATTTTCTCACTGAAAAGACAACAGTAAGAAACTCTGTACTACCATACTGTGTTTAGATGTATAGAACAACTTTTAGAATATAACCAGGCAACTATAAAAAGCTGTAAAGTGATGCATATGCAGTTTACAGGGCTGTAGTTCCTTCACCAGGGCTGCAATTTCTTGAGATATCAATAGGGGTGAATTTCAGTCAATCCAAATCTGCATTTTTGGTGGAAAAATGGTTGTGGCCAGTATTTTTCCTTTGATCTATGATAAAAAGAAAATGGAATAAGAAAGCAGAGCATGTAGAGGCTCCAATAATTCCAGGAAGAGAAGTAGATATGAACATTTGGCCCAAGCATTTACCTTGTCCTAATTAAATAGTAAAGTAGTGAGTGTAAAGCAGATGAAATACTTCTTGCACTTCTAACATCTTTCTTGATATAGGAACTGCTTTGTTTTATAATTTGTGCATTAGAGATTACTCTGATCAAGATTAACTGTCCATCCCATATGAATTTTACTTATTCCCTTCTTCCTCAACTGAATTTTAACCTTAGAAAAGTCTATGTAAATGTAAATGTGACTTCAGGCAGAATTTACAACTTTATATAAAAAATGAACACTTTTATTTCACAAGCCAGAATTTATATCAAGGGAGAAGTAAGGGAAAATTCTGGCATTCTCTTTAAATCATATCCCCTGCTAGACTCAGTGAAGGACTTAGACATCTGCAAGGTAGGCATTACAATGCGTAAGATCTAAGTATGTGATCCCTGGGTGAAATTCCAAACAGCATGCTAGGTGTGTAGGTCCTTTTACAATGAATTGTTGAATTAGAAGTTTCATAATCAGTTCTATAACAGCCAACTGTGTAGCAAATATGAAATACATGAGTGTCTCTGAAATCTAGTCCTCTGAGGAACCTAGGTACCTCAAACCACTCAGGACCCTTAGCTTCAGATCCCCCCACAGGAGTAGATATCTCTAAGCATCCTTTCAGGAAACTGAGCTGGATTCACAGTGGTCATATATACATATCATGATGACTAAGAGAACTTGCTCCAGAAGTAGGAGCCCTGACTTCTAAGTCCCCCTCAGCCTGTGGGTTTAAATACATTTTCCAGGAAAGTACCCCACCATCCATCTGTTGGCTAGGCAGGGATGAGGGCATCCTACAAGTTCCTGTTGAAATTTAGTCAGTAGATAGGAAGGAATGCAAGAGTTTGGGGCAAAAACAGGCCATGCAAGATTGAATCTAACCCTGTAGGCCATTGAGATGAATAGTCCCTTGGGATGGAGGAAGCCATGAGCTCTGCACCAAGTGCTGTATATGTACTTTGCATTGACTATAAAATGGTACTAGAAATCTAGAGAACTTTAAAAGCCATTAGGGTGGATCTTAGTAAATTAGGTGTTTGCAGGAGTGGGATGGTTTACATGACTGGAGTAGGGTCATCGATGGGTGTAGCTTGTTTAGGAAGCATAGATATGGGGAAAAAAGAGGAGATGTCTCCCTGTATATAAGGGCAGTATACATGTTCTGAGGTGTAGTACTAAGTGGAAAATAGGCCTTTACCTAGAAAAGGTAGGACTGTTGAAAGCCTATAGGTAAAGTTCAGAAGGGAGAACAGGGGAGATGTCATGGTGGACATCTACTACAGGCTACCAAACCAGGAGGAGAAGGTGTATGAGACCTTTGCACAACTGATGGAAGCTTCCAAATCACAGGACTTGGTTTTAATGAAAGACTTTAATTATCCCTCCTGTACTGTTAAACATCTGAAGCAAATTTGCAGACAGCACCAAATTGGATGGAGTTGCAGATACTCCATGGGATAGGGTTAAGATCCAGAATGACCTAGATAAACTGGAGAAATATTCTGCAATTAATCAGACGAGATTCAACAAGGACAGATGAAAAGTTCTGTGCTGGGATGTAATGATTGAATGCACAGTGATATTATCAGGGATCCTGGTTTTCTCTGATAAAAAAATCCCCAGTTTTTGGATTAAAAAACAAACAAACCCCAAATCCACATTTTTCTGTGATTAAAGTGAAACACCACGTGTGTGTGTGTGTGTGTGTGTGTGTGTACGCGTGTTTGTGTAGTAGTAGTAGTAGTAGTAGTAGTGTTTCATTTTAATCATGGAAAAATGTGGATTTTGTGTTACTTTTTTATATCTGAAAATTGGGGATCTTTTTTTTTATCAGAGAAAACCAGGATCTGTAGTTATTAAGTTACTGCACAGTTAGCGTCTCATGTATATATCCCCAGTGATCACAAAATCTTGATCTCTTTACTTATATGCATAGTCCTAATTAAATTAGTAGGTACAGTAGTAAACTGAAAAAAATTTGGACCAAAATGCATTTAGCCATTGAGAACAGTTTAACCAAGCTGAAAATAAAGACCGTTAATTGTGCTAACACCAATTAAATGTATTATGAACTGAAAAGTAGTTAAAAGCAATGCCACTAAACCTGTTGAAATATTTGGTAAAAATGCTTGATAAATTGCCAACTTTTAGGTAAAATACATGGGCTCTAGTACAAGCCATGTAATTTGCTTAATAGAAAATATAATGGATAGAAGTGCTTAACAGAGATGCATTAGTGCCCTAAACCTTTGTATATAACAGGATAGGCTCAAGTCTTGTTTTGGTACAATATTTTTATGCTCTTCTCAGTTTATGGTAAAAAGAAAAGAAAAGAAAAGAAAAGAAAAGAAACCAGGCTTATTTGAATTATGATACAGTTGATCCAATTTGTAACAGGAAGAATATATAATAATACCTGATTGCAATGGCTTGAAAGCAATGCCTGAAATCCATTATTTTCATAGACACTTGTTTTGTCAGAAGTCTTAAAATTCATAGGAATAGGGTTAGAAGTTATCTAATCCAGCCCCTTGATCATTCCTGACTAAACCATCCCAGCCAAAGGTCTGTCTAACCTCCTCTTGAAAAAATTCAGTGGTGGTGATACCACAATTTTTCTCCTTATTTTTCTCCCATTCATCTCTATCTCCAACCTTAATTTCCTCTGCTGACACTTAAGGCCTTTGCTCCTAGCCTTGTCCCTTACAGTCGCAGACTAAAGCTCTCTTTATCCTTTCTCTAATTGCCCTTCAAGTATTTGAAGACTGTTGTTATTTTTATGAAGTATTTCAATAGCAATGATTAAATAAAGTTAGTTATTGTGCATGTTTCATTCTTGGAAGTCTACATTCTTTTAAAGGTTTCTAATTGTTTTAAAATGTTGTTTAACAAGAGTTTTATTAAGACTCACAGCATTGTCCTAATAACTGTTGAATTAGGGTATAAAGTGTTACAATAATGTTTTATGAGATAGGAAAATTCATGTATAACAAAGACCAAAAGATATTTATTCTGAATGGATTTCTCAAAGACTATATGACTTTTCTTCCAAGTGGATCAGATGCCTCTAGCTGAAAGGCATTTTACAACCAGTTTTAGCAAGCTTGCTTTGTATCTTCACCTGCCTGAGGGCAATAAACTTTAATAGACTCTTGTTACAGTACTCTTTCCAATTGCAATGACCAAGGTGAAGAGCTGAAAAAGCAGAAAAACTAAATATAAATGATGCCTCTGTTTTTAATAAACAGGTAGGTAACCAGAGGCTAAATAGAATGCTTACAACTCAATTCTGTCAACAAATAGAACATAAAAAGAATTTGCTATTTTAATTGCCTAGAAAAATACCTGCATTTTTTTCCATTCTTTGTCCTGCTAAAAAACAGCTGTACATTTCATCTTTGTAATAATTCGATGTGCCCCAGGGTGAGAGGGGATACTCTAAAAGTTTCTGAATAGAAAAAGGCAATTTGAAGCCATTAAGGTTAGGTCAAGGAGAGAAAGGCTATCTTGTTCTTGTTCATTTTTTTTAACAGCCCTTATCCAGAGCCATACCTACTTAGATATAAAAGCTGTTAAAAATGTCAAATATTCCAGTTGTCAGCTGTGTAAGAATGCAGCCAGCTACCCGGAGTGGCTGCTATACACAGGATGATAAGTCACACAGATGAGGCAAAAGCTGTTTTTTCCATACCCCACTCCTTCCCTGTCAGTGCCCAGGGCAGTTGCTTCTGTTGCTCTGCCCTACTCACACCATTGCCAATTGTAACTGGAATATAGCAAGTATTATAATAATAGTAATAATACATACATACATACAGCATGTCCAGCATTTCTTCCAGCTATGGAAGATATATGCAAGAAAAGCACAGAAATATAGCTATTTCTTTCTTCTAAAGCAACCCAATCTGTTGTAAATCTGTTACATGCGTATAAATAGGAGACTTAAAATTGGAAGTCATATCCACAGGTTCTATAGGTCAGGATATAACATCGGAAGATATATCCATGAAATATCTAAATTTATATAACTATGCACAAGTTTTTAAAGGCTTAATGTAATTTGACAACCTCCAGGAACTAATAAGGATTTGAATAAAACAGTTATGAGCATGAGTTATGCTAGATGACAGAAAAAGGAAGAAACAAACTTGGTGGCAAGAATGACTAAGAAAGCAGAATGACTTAAATGAAAATGTTGCCTAGATAGTAAGTGTGAAAAAAAAAATTTCAGAAGCCCCTCAGTGATTTAAGGGGGAAGCCTGAGGGTGCAAGCAGATGTAACAGGCAATAGAGTATACTTTAGGATTCTGGTGCTGATTGTGGTCAGTTTACTAAATAAGCGTGGCCTGACACAAGCTCTGAGTATGCTTATGCTCTTTTGTCCCTCAGTTTTTTACTTCACAGTAGGATAGTACTTGTAAGTACGCATGCTATCCTGCTGTGGAGTAAATTAGTTTACTCCAGCCTAATAGGGTCTCACATGTAGAAGCTGAGACATTACTGGAAAGGTAATTAGTCTACTGTGCAGTAAGCATCTCATGTAGACGCACCCACTGACAGCTTTGAGTTAAGTACAAAGCAGCAGTCACAGAAACTTTTATTAAAAAATATTACCAGGAGAACCAGGCAAATCATTTATATAGTAACTCAACAGATAGAATACTCACTCAGGTAGAAAGAGACTTCCCTTGACTATTGCTGGTTGGCCAAGAAGTGTCTGGGATCTTCAAGGGGGAAAAAAACTTGGGGGAAAAAAAGTCTAATCTTATATCTGAGTTTCCAGCCTGGGACAGGCAGTAGCTGTGGCTCTGGCTTCAGCTCTGGTCCCAACGGGTAACGTGCCTTAAAGCACACACATAGATATGCTTGCATCCATCATGGGATACTAGGTAAATGTGCATTAGCCTATCTTAATATGGATTACTAAAGAGCATGGTTGTTAGTGATGGTTTAATGCATATTAGCCTATTTTAATGCACATTAGAGAATGTGCACAGATTTTTAGTGATGCTTTAATATGCATTAAAATAGGCGAATATGCATTAAAGTGAATGTGTAGACATGCCCAGTGATACCAACAAATAGGCTGACCTCAAGCCAAGCAACCAATTTATGATGCAGCCATGCTACTTTCAGAAGATAGTCTGAACAGACCTGTGTAGGATGTATGAGTATCACCACCTGAGATGGCACATTTACGATGAAACATGGCAAGATTTCTGTACAATGGAAGAGTTAGGAACTACAAAATGGTACAAAAACCACAATGGCAGGCCAGGTTCTTGGGTAGATGTAATATCTTTTATTATACCAACTGAGTAGTTGGGGAAAAGTTCTTTGCAAGCTTTCCAGCGCAAGCACCTTCCTTCAGGCATTGGGAGACTCAAGAAGGATGCATGCGCTCAAAAGCTTGCAAAGAACTTTTTTTTCCAACTACTCAGATGGTCTAATAAAAATATCACATCAACCCAAAGAACTTTCCCTGTGTATGTCCTTAGATCAACACGGCTACAGCCAACAACCCTACAACACACATTAGTATTCTAGTCTGAGCAGAAGGGTACTTAAGCCAGCCAATAAGAAGTGCTGAAGAGAGAGATGTGAAGAGTGATAGAGTGCTAGTGCTCACCTTTTATATTGTAGTTATAGCACTCTCTCAGGAGGTGGAGGTCTTGGGTGCTAGCTTTTTATTATCCTGGGTGTATTCTACCATGTTTCTGAATGATAATTACTTGGCTGGTGTGCTTTATGCTGAAATTATTACTACTAATATGTTAAGCACCTTCTGAATTTTCCTGAGGGACAGATTGGATTCCTCAAAGGACTAAGAAGTGGAGACACCTAGCTATTGTGTTCTTTATGGCCTTACACATGAGAAAGGTGTTGAGACACCCATAACAGGCAAGATGGTTACATCTCTAGGAAGATGCAGTAGCAAAACTTTAAGCACCTAATTAAATTTATTCATGAGAACTCGAGAGCTTATAGACTCTAAAGATTTGAACTTTTTTTTAGTGGAGAAGACTTTTGGATTTAAGCACTTAAATTCATCTTTAATTTCACTTTAAGCACATAGTACCCTCTGGGATTCTTCCCCTAAAGGATCAGTTGTGATACTGCTTACTCTGATGTTACTGTGGGCATCATCCCATTTCTGAAAATGATACTGTCTATAGAGTGAAAAGTAACTGAATAACAGGAGTAGCAGAGATATAATCTAGCCCTGGTAGAATAAGAAACAATCCTGGAGTTCTCAAAGAGGCTGTATAGATTTATTGTAGACAGTTAAATCTAGTTTTAGGACAAAACGTTCCAATACACAGTATAATTAGATAGTTTCTTTACATAGGACCAGATTCTATGGTCCTTAGTCTTGTTAAGTAGAATCTTATTCTGTAAATAACCCACTTATTTTCAAGAATAAATGACTACTCAACACAAAAGTATCAGAATTTGGGCCACACTAAATCACCTTTTTTCTTTTTGTGCTGCTGAAAAGATTGTTCCTGTATAAATGCACATGAACAATTCATCCAAGCAAATGAATAGATTTTACATAAAAATAAACATGATTTAACACCCAATTTTGTTTGTTCTTGTTCAGATATGATCCAAAAACTGATACCTGGACAATGGTGGCTCCATTGAGTATGCCTCGAGATGCTGTTGGTGTCTGTCTCCTTGGTGATAAATTATATGCAGTGGGTGGATATGATGGCCAGACTTACCTGAACACTATGGAATCATATGACCCTCAAACTAATGAATGGACACAGGTACTTATTAAGTCTGTTAATTCTTCTATAATATATCATAGAAATTATTCACAAAAGCTTTATTTTTTCAATAGCTGACACTGACATAAATGTAAAATTATTTCCAATATTTTATCAGCTACTATAATAGAAGTTCCCCCAGAAGAGAGAAAAAGCAAAAAAATATCACCTAGGATACCAGGAAGAGACAGATAAAGTTGTCACTTTAAAACTCCTGCTGCCATTATAACAATGCGTAGATAGTTTTTGAGTATTTGCCCTGTAGCGTCGGAGGGCTAAATACAAATATTTTTTCCCAACAATTTTAAAGGGTTAAAAAATCACTTCTCCCTATAAGAATAACTGGCTTTTGTCAGTAACCAGAGATTTAGGGCACATAGCATTTGTCTTAATGCTTCCAGAGCAGCTTTCATTGTACTAATTCTACCAATTAACCTTGATAGATCAGGATGCTGCAGCCCAGTTCTTCTGTATCCACTAATCCTGCTTATAAACAGACATAACTATAGCTCCTATGCTGCCTGCTTGGAGAACAGGAAGCATGACAGAACACTAAAGCCACATGGTTTTAAAGCAAAACAATCTTTCCCCTCGACAGCTGACCTTTACTTTTTTGGGATAAAGTACAGATGTCTTCCAAAGCACACAGACTATGGAAGCACCCTTTGCATAGCAAACCATTATATGCATTCCCTACTTCATGAAACCTCACCAAAGGAGGCAAGCAGTGAATTTCCTTTGCCATAACCCTTTATGCTGTATGCATATTTCTCCCAGAGGAGAATGCTTCAATATAGTTAGGTGGGGAATTCTTTGATGTACAGAAATCCTGGTTATGAATTACCTTAAATTGCTTTTGAAAGCATGAGAAAGGTTTCATGAAATTCAGTAAAGTATGTTTGCAAGAAGATGTATGTACAACTGTGTACTGTGCATGTTTTTGCCAAAGTGCAGTTGTCTCTAATTTTCTTTATTTCAAAATTTTATAAAGTAAATAAGAAAGAACAACAAATATGATTTATTGGCCTTCAGTATAATAAAGTAAACCTTTTTTTCGAAGAAACAAAATTAAACAACATTAACAGTTTTTGTTCTGCTATTTTACCCTATTATTAATGCTATTTTTCCTTTGAAAGTCACCAAGTAAAGTGTAAAGAATTGTGTCCTTAATTATTATGGTGGAGATAGACTTTATTATGACCTTGTAAAAGTGACAGAAAATCAGACCTGAATTGCTATAGTGCCTTGATTTGTTACAACAGACTTATTTAAATTCTAAAAACTTTTGCAAGTAACATGGCCCTCATATCCAGGGACTATGGATTCTTATCCCTGGATTAGCTTTTGTAACCCCATTGGTTCCATGGCTAGGGACAGACATTCAAAAATCCTGAGCCTGAATTGATTCAATCTTTGCAGTTTAGTCTACCCTGGCTAGACTGAACCGGTTTGTAACCAGACAGACATTCTCTCTGGACTGAGGAAATTCAGGCATATGCCTGAAGTGGTTCAGGCTAGAAGCTAGGGGGTGCTAGAGCAGCCCTCCCTTAGTGCTGAGCTGAGGGGAGCGTGGCCAAGCCCTGGCAGGATGTTTTGATTAGGGAGGTCTGCCTGCACGGTCCCAGACTCTTTTCCTGCTGACTGCTCAAGGGGCAGGAGTGTTGCTAGCTAGCACTCTGAGGCAAGGATGGGGGTGTGCAGTGCATGCATCTGTTGATGATACAGAGCTTTTCAATCTCCCTCCCTGCTACTTTATACTATCTGCAGCAAACTGACAGGCAAGCAAGCCAGCAGGGAGCTGATAACAGTGCTTATCACACCATCAGCAAAACAATAGTCTCTCTCCATTAGTTCAAACTCTTCTTAAACAGCTTACCAGTTGATCTGTTGATTAGCTCCAAAAAACCCTAAGTGGTCACTGTTCTGTCTGGTTGTCCCAGTGAAATTGGAGAGACACAGACACAGGCAGCTCTCAGTATTAGCTGGTATACCACATGCCTAGGGAACATGGGGCTAGGATCCGTGCTGTGGGAGAGGCAGGGGAGGGAGAGG